CTTGCTTAGATAGACTTCTGCGTTGCGCTCAAGCGGTAACCGAAAATGGAGTGCTTTCAATCCCACAGGCATCCGTGCCACGTATAAAGTACATATAGCCTTCCATACCCCATCTGGAAAGAAGATACCATTACTGAATCTGCAGAAAAACAAACCTTTAAATTATTATGGACTACTGTTTTTTCTCCCCCTCATCACCCACCATTTCTTGACCAGCGAATGGAACTCTTTAACTCTTCTCTAACGGAAAACATTGACTGAACTTGAGGTCCTGCAACTTCTCGAGCGTATTATCTCACAATACCTAGGAAAAAATTCTATGCAGTCCCTGCATTTTCCGTTCCTTGCCCAAAAACAACAATAAGAGCAACCAGAAACACACACAAAAAAGTTTAAATCCACTGAAATACATATACAGATCAGCATCTAATTTTCGACGTGTCAAAGAGAGAATATATCTTTTTATTTTTTAGCATATTAACGAAGGCTGCGCCCCCACTTGCAAGACAGGTTATTTCACAACCGTTAAGCTGCGAAATACACTTTCTATAACCTGCTCTTATTTTTTAATAAAACTCTTGCAGTTGGGAAACCACACAGCACGCTTTTAAGGAAAATCCCATTTTGTCTTCCAAATAAGCAGCTTCCTGTTAAAAAGCTTGCGATGAAAAATCCTAAGGACCCGGACGGAATGAATCTAGGTGCAAACCGCCACGGAGTTGAGTACATAGGCATCAATGTTTTTACGCACATCCGTCGTCTCCTAACTATATATATCCCTAATGAAAGCTAGTGAAAACGGAGCTAAACTTAATATCGGAAGAGTTTTCATTGGGTAAAAGACAGAAGAGCACTTGTTAAAAATCTGTTATTAAAGGTTGGACTTGAGTTTGACGGGGCCGTCCATTCAAAACATTTGTAAGAAAGTTGGAAGACTTCGGTCTTGTTCTTTCGCCTTTTCTTCTGTCCCAATTTCCCTCTCCGGAACCCATAACTTTGCTTCCTCCTCCCTCCTCTCTGTTTGGGATGGAGAACTTTACTGCGGATGAGCGGCAATCCTGCTGTAGATTTTCAAAACAAAGAAGAACTATTGTAACCAGTTTCATAGTGCCATAGTGATATTAGAATGAGAGCTCAAGAAAAAAGGGAATGGCTAGTAAAAAGCTTTGTATTCAGCTCTAATTTACTCAACAACTTTTCATACCGTTTTCCCCAACTGTTTTTAATGATCCAGTAATCTTTATTGTCTGTCGTACCAAATCCGACTATAGCAACAGCATGAGAACCTTGCGAGTTATTTGTACAATCGATTTCTGCTGGATCGAAAATACCGGATTGGTAATGAAAGAGTTCTTTTGTAACGTTTAAACCTAAAATTTTGTTTTAAATTAGCTTTTTCCTTTACGTTATTTTAGTGCAATGGATCTTTAAACAACTGAGTGACAAAATAGAAAAAAACTTGATTTATTTAAGGAGACTGATAGCGTTACCCACTGAGACAGGTCCTTCAGAAAAAACAAAATCAGCTATAGCCTCACTATTCCGGCTGATATATTTAACGTCTTTGATACGGTACTGTCCTCCTTCGATCAAACACTGAGGGTTTTCTTCAGCTGTGTAAGGGTACTGTTCTGCAGAAACAAGACCTTCGTCTCGTACATACCTTAGAAAGATGTAAACGTCAAAAAAACAGTATTTCAATAAAATTTTAGCGTAAAATTTAGGCAATCAGTGATTTATTCATGTCGATCAGAATAGCTATATTGGATAAAATAATATTGCAAATAATCTTTTTTTATAAGCGTAGTATGAAATGACTAATTGGAAAATACATCCAAATAATGTAAAAGAAATGTTAACCAACTCGAAAGCATATGGTCGATAACCTCCATTACATCCAGAATCTTTAAAATCACAGTCGACTAATTGTTGTTCCGAAAGACTAACCGGAGTTTGGTTGTTATGAATCGCAATCGCTGACTCTACAACTGCAACAGTGGCAAATGCCCAGCAGGAGCCACACTTTCCTGAAGTAGTTTGTGTTCGCTGATACTGCAGTATAGAAATAATACAGTTCAAAATTTTAAAATCTTAGCTTTAGAAATCCAGAAAAATCAGTTTTTATTCTGGGAATGGGATCGATTAGTAAACCTTGGTCTTTGACTGCAGTAACGACATTTTTTGGTCTCCAGTCAAACTTTTCTGGTCTATCAGCAACTTTAATACGTTCAAATTTTTGATTTGCATCTCGTCCTCGTAGTTCTAACTGATTAGAAGAAATTAACTGAAGCAAACTAGACAGTATTAACTGTGTAATAATAAAAAAATTATTTCTGTACCAATAAGATGACAGTATACATAGTTCAACAGCATTGTATCATAGCTCGTCAAGTAATAAATTTACCCTGCTTAGTTCGCTCTGGGACCAGTCTGCAAACTCATTTATTCCCAAAACTGCAGTGTTCTGCGATCCTCGATAACCATTAATTAAGTTTAAAGTCTTCACAAAATTTTCATATCTGGCTGAAATCTCATAGCTGGTTTTGTAACTGCGATTAAACCTTAAAATTAGAAAAAGTGTTTCAGAGGTGCTATTAAATGTTGGTAATTCTAAATAAACTGTATGAGTTATAACGTAATTCACAATATTACCTTTTAACAAATTTGATAAACTTTTCAATATGACCACTTTGTGTTTCATTTCTTCTAGCAGTATTAACAAAATTTTGAAAAATATTATCCGTTTCAGTCATACGAAACATTTTATTAACCGCTATAAGCCATAAAGTACAACTGAATATAGCAAGTATCAACGAAATCACAAGCAGCGCTATCAGTATTTTTAACAACCTTCTCCTGCTTCTTTCGAGTCTAAAACAGGCTTTTTATTGGAAAGACATCCAAAAAAAATTTGCTACTTTTAGTTTTTTATTCGTCAATTAAACATAAATTTTCATTCTCTTTCTAAAGTTCACTCCATTTCAAACACTAAACCAATGACTTAAGTGAAGTAAGACTGTTTGAAAAGAAATATAAAATTTTCATCTGTAAATACAGCACTATTCATGTTTGACACTCCAATCAACAAGCGCTTAATGATTTTAACTGAGAATTGAAATACTGAACAGTTTGCTAACAGCGGTGAAAATTGTTTTAACAAAGGAGAAGAAAATTCTGAACAGACGTTTTAGTTTGTTTCTGTCGCAAAAACCTCGAATCTTTTACAAATTATAAAGAGCAGAGTAAGCTTTTGCAAGAAAACCTCAAAAAAAATTATCGTATTTTCTCGACGAAACGAAAGAAATGATGAAAATATTTATTGGTCAGAATATCTTTAATGTATCAATCTTTTGAACAGTTTAGCAGAGCAAACTAGAAGTGCAGAAATTCTGACCTGCTGTTGTTGTTAAATACGCTCGAATAAGGTTTGTTAAGCCTGGTGTAAGGAATATTGCTTGACGTGGGCAGAATCAAAGCTTTGTTTTTTGGCATTACAGAAAAAAGCAAAGGTACGATGAAGTCAAGCGGGTTTTTCAAAACCTGAAATAAGAAAAATTTACGTGTTGTTTTCTGCTTTAAATTATTTAGTTTATGACTATTTTGAAAGGTCAAGAATAAAATCAACCACATTCTTATTCTGCGAAAGCAGTCTGTGAGATATGCAACTTACACAATAAATTTTTTTTAAAAACTTGATGCTCTTTGAAAATTTCAGCTTATTTCAATGAGACTATTGGTCTACAGTCAATACTATTACAATGACATTTTAACATTATAAAACAATTTCTGATTTTTCGAGAAAGCGTAGAGCAGAACTTAACAAAATTGAGCTCTTTTCTGCGCTGTAGTTAGTAAGTAAGACAAGGCAGAAGTAGAACAAAACAAGATAAAAGAATAAACAAAAAAAAAAAATAGGGTTCACATTGGAAGTATTTATAACCTTCTGAAAAAAGTGTGAAGTCAGTGCACTCTGTCATCAACGCGTCTTTCTTTCAAAAAATCATGCTCACAGTTCTAAAACTTTGTGAAATCGGGTTACTTTAGTTACACACTTCTCTCAAATTTTCGATACCCGCATCTTGTCATAGAGTTTAAAAAATAGAAAATAAAAAAGGCTGAACGAAATCGAAGAAGAGTTTGAAAAAAAAGGCAAATTTAAGGGTTTCTATAAGCAAGAATTTCTGCAGCCAGTAATTAGACTGATGAGAGGGGCGATAAGTTGAACAAATGCACAGAACAGAGTTCAATATCAGGTCTGCTTACTGCAGTACGCTGATAAATTTTTGCATAATTTGCACTTTTTTTCTGGTCTATGTTTTCCATAAGAAAGCAAATTTTTTTTGTCGCTGAAACAAAGTAAACGAAGGAAAGTGCGGCTCTAAATTTCGCTTCTAATTGTGTTTAACTGATTTCAATCGTAATGACTGAGTCAAACACGAAAAAAAAATTAAAAGTAACTGTGGAATTAAAAAATTATATGGAAAAGATTTGTTTTTGAAAAAGCAAGAAATATTGCAAAAAAAACTTAGGAAATTAGGCTTAAGATTAAAAACAGAAAAAAACCAAAAAAATGAAATAATTTAAATTCGAAGTTAAAACATAATCATATAAAATAAGCACCCAGAATGAATAATGGTTTAACAAAAAGCAAGTTTTCTCAAAATTCAGAGTTTTAATAAACTGTAAAAATGCTTTGAAGTTCAAAATTTAAGACTTTTATATTTAAATGAATTGATCAAAGGTTATTCAAAAATTGGTAATTTTAATACAAATTTTGGATTCAAGATGCCACAAAAAAAATAATAGATGTATAATGAGCATTAACTTTACAATATTTTATTTGTCTTGCAGCTTTCATCTATCAAAGCAGAATTTCTGCTTAGAGCAACAATGAGAAAAACGTACAACTAAGGAATTTGTGCACAGGAACTTCAATAAACACTTGTCTCACAATTTGCAACTGTTTCTTAACAAAAAAACTGTCTTGCAATAAGAATCTGGTTTTAACTAGATATTTATTTAGACTTAAATGTTTAAAATAGGAAGCTGTATGAAAACTACGAAGTAAATTTATTGTACTGTGAAATGTCAATGGAATCTGATATTTTGATTGATTTGTTAGTTTTGAGTAAGCATTTTAAAACTGAAATATTATTCATAAACGAGAAGCAGTAGAAGAGAATAAATAAGGACAACTTAGTTGCTTCTATTTCAACGGTCGTCTACAAGCTTCATTTTGTAAAAGACAATAACGATGTTTAGCATTTGACAAATTTTACTGTAATCAATTCTAAAGCGCAATAGACACATTTAGGCTTTGGTGTTCAGCTTAAAAGAGGCTGGAAATTCAATGTCTAGCGAAAACCAGTTCGCATTCTTTCTTGATTAGACAATTTTTTACGGCGAACTTCCACAGGTCACAGTACTGATAAATACATCTATCTTTATCTGAAACAGATTTTTCCTAAGCACCCAAAACTCTATCACTGATCATTTCAAGAATTTCTTCAGGTTTACAGCAACTTCAAGAGAACATTTTAGTAATTATTAGACCTAAGAGGTGTGAAGTAGCAGAAACTTTTTATTACTTAAAGTTTACTTTGGTTCACACTTTCTAAAACGCGAACAAGTAAAGGTTTTCTCCTTGATGCATAGATGACAATTCTCTGTAATAGCAAACGTCGCTTGATATAAAATGACTATTTATCTCAAATATATTTTATTTAGACGAAATTTCTACAGTCTTATCACTTCTTGATGATATGCAGTAGAACGTCAGATCTGTCGTATTTGTTGTAGTCTAAATTTTTTCGTGTGCTGCTGCCTTTCGTCTGCTGATGAAAACTTGATGTATTTCATAAACAGTGTTTTCTTTGGTGATTTAATACTAAATGCACGTTTTCTTTTGTAATTTTTTCTAATTTTATTGGAATCATGCACTTTCTAATTTCCTGAAACTTGACGTAAAGCTAAGTTTCGCGAAAAGTTTGACTCAAGCTTAAGCAGACATCTCACTGGTACTCTTCACATTTAGTTTTCTTACTGAACTTAATAAGAGCTGATTCAGACCTAACTGTCCCACTCCTATCCCTCTGTAGCGTACTGTTTTACCTCTGAATTGCTGAACAACTTTCTTATTGACTATCACCATCGTTAGTAGTCTGTTTTGTCAACAAGCTGCTCAAATCGGGTTAGATATGATTTTTTATCTATCAGAACTGCTAACCAGAAGCCAAGTT